AGCCAATACGCCCTACATATTATTATATACGCCACACTCTAATCAGTATTCAGTTTAATCTTTCCGAGTTTTACTCGGTGTAATATTGATATAAAACGACTACAAAGGTATAAAATATTATATTATATTATCGAAATAATTGCTCATGATAAACCGTTAATGACGTAACGGTAACGCACTTGCGTACCGGTATGACACAGGTACTAACTGCAGCTATGATGTCTAGAACTCAAGACATAACAGCAACTGCTWTTTTTTACAGTGATTTATTGAGCACACAAAACACTACCTGTTTTGTTATCTGACTTTAGACCACAGCTAGCTGTAAAAAATTATAATAATATACATTTATGGTTTATGATTCTGTAATTTATGATTTTTTTTGATTTTTTTTTTTTGTCTTACGATAATTAATGTATTCGTATACGCACGTCACATACATTTCGAAAAAGTAAATTGTTACAAATGAATGTTTAATTTGAATGGTTTATTTTTAATTTTTAATTTTATTTATTCAATTAAAAATTTTTCAGCGTATTTCATGCTATTTCAAGTTTGATTAACTTTTCTAATGACGAATCACAATGTGATTGTGACGATTAATTTTATACACTATATGGACCGGAATGTAAGCTTCTTGTAGGTAGTACTAGGTACACACTATATACAGAAATGTAAATATTATACTCATACATTAATTATACTGTTCAGTGTATGAAGTAATTACAGTAGGTTTACCATGAGATAAATTTKTATGTGCAATTAATACATTATTTTATATTGTATTACCTAAAAAATAATGACTTAATAATGAARTGATATCATAATAACTATATATTGCTACCTATATACATTTCCAAACAAAGCTTGTAGAGATATTTTAACTTTTAATATTATGTCTATTTATAATAATGACAATTAAATCGTTTTTGATAATTGCTCTTAGTTTTTGGATGAATTTAGCGTATGGTTGTTTTACAATGTATCAATATAAAAAAGTTTAAAATGAGAAAATTAATTGAATTTAAGAGARTATGAAAATATGATTCTTTAAATATGTTTGCTAGATAAAGATTGCATAATCAAAATTTGAACGAACAATAGAGTTTTTAATGCAAATTCATTCATTAAGTTTGCACTTGCCAGTTTTAAATAACCTGATAGAAATATGATAGAACGAAACCTCTATGTCTTATAATATATTTATACAGTCATTAAAAGAGTTTTTTAAAGCAAACCATAGTCCAAGATCATTTATTGTGGATACTCTTGATAAATTAATATCTGCCGTTGAATGGAGTCTTAGAGTTTTATCTAATTCCAATTGCAGTTTAAATAGTTTAATAGTATATATTTTATGCTTGTTATTTCTCTAAATATTTTTGAATTATCGGCAAACAAAAAGACATTTGAATACATAAGAACTWTTTAKATATCGTTTATAAAAAAACAGAATAATATCGGGGATAATTAATCTCTTCGGGGGACTTCTGAAGCATTGTACATTTATTCAGTAAAATAGYTTCCTTGTTTTATAATTTTATAATGGCGTGAGATATATAAGTGAAACCACGAAATTAATGGTTTGGCTAGCCCATAAGATTTAACTTTATTTTGATGATTTGTGGTTTTCCTATCAATGTTTTCTTCATGTTTGTATTCATAACATTRGTTTACAAATAAGTATTAAAAGACGGTAGGATTGATTGTTTTAATATACTTAAATTTCTTACTATTGATCTGTTTTGTCTAAAACAATGTTGGTTATTAGATAACAATGAATTACATAGATTCATAAAAAAATTATTCAATTTATATTCAACGTGAAAAGTCGTAAACTTAATGTCATTCTCAAAAATATTACATTTTACGACTGGATAAAATATAGTAAACAAGAATATTATGTATTAAAACTTAGTAATAAAAAATAATGTTAAGCGGTCTGTGTATCTATATATATATAGCTCTTTTTAAGGAAGTAAAACATCGACCATGAAAATGCATGACAAAGACCACTATACTCATCGCATGACTATTTAACTTTGTCATTGTGTTACATTTRTATAAATACTCTACTACTGGTTCGACAATGAAAATTATACTAAAATTGTGATTATTTTTTTATAAAATAGGTATTATTTTCGATACACAAATCAGTAGTTAGTTATGTATACCAAAGTTCAATTAAACTAAACATTTTTTCTGTAATTACTTTAAGCTTGTGATTTTATAGTTAACTTCAATTATACCTAATTGTATAATTATAGCTAGTAGAAAATATTTCAAAAAYATGATTTTTTTAATTTTCTAGGCTATAATTTATATAGTAGATTTAAAGCATTAGTAATACCTCCTACCGAAAATCGTCTAGTAGACGACATTATTGAATGAATGCAAATAAGTGACGTTTTTATAGAATTCCAATCAACATTT